AGTTGTGATGTACTACATCAAAAATGCTGATAGTTCTGAGTATATTCCGTAATAGATCAATTGATATAATCATTCAAGGCTAAGGATGCATGTGATTGTTGAGAAACGTGAGTTGGGCCGGGGTTGAGAAGGCCATGTCCCTTTATTTTAGGCAAGCCAAACCTAAATGCTTTCACCTTTTTCAAAGGGATAATGCTATGTGTACATAATATTTCACATAATCTTTTACACCCCTCACATGGAGGGGGTTCACACACAATAAAGTATTTGTGGCCCCCCCTCCATGTGAGGGGGTGTAAAACTATGTGTACACCTTTTTCACAAGTGTTTCTTTTACAAGAGTGCCCATGTAGCCAGGTCAGTCACAGCCCAGCTCTAGGACAGCTATCCGTTCCAGGCTTTTGCTATTCCAGGAGACCCGGCCATGCCTAGACCAACCTTCTACCTTGTCGATCTGACATGTTTAGACGCCTCTACTGGTCTGACTAGTTATTTCATAATTAGACTCTGTATTAAATAAATAACGATGATTGGGGACAAAAATACCGGGGTGCTAGGATCAAGAGTCACATGTCGCGTACTGAATCTGGTTCCCCTGATGTTGGAAATCCACACATCAAAGCCATTATCAGCCAATATCATCGCCAAAGATTGTTCTGGAGGATTTACAAGCCAAGTCATTCCATCCTGCACCCAGGCCAGAATTAACCGTCCACAGTTTCAGTTTCTTCGTCAAAAATGTAAATAAATGATCAAAGAAGTACATATAAAAAAAAATAAATAAATAACTGTATGAATTCACAAGATTATAAACAAAAACATAAAAATAGTACAAGAAATAGCCAACAAACCTACTAAATCAGTCTCTGTTAGATTCTATTGCATTGTACAACACGTGAAGCATCAAGACAAATCGACAATACAGGATGTGTCAACAAGCACTAATTGCAAAGGCAGAACTCATAAATAAGTTCAAGATCGACTCTCATTTTCTAAAATTATTTTTTTCCTGAACTCATTTTTAACTGTACAAATTCCACAACTTTTAACTACACGTGTTGTCAACTTTTATCGAAATCTACTAAAAATCAAATCTTTTTCGAAACCAAGATGGGCTAAATAAACTTTGAATAGGAAAACTTGGACCAATATAACATATTCGATCTGTAAACCTGACTCATCTTCTGACAGGCTTACGAGACCAAACAGTCAAAAAGAAATGTGGTAGACCGAGCTCGAACCAGCCCTTGAGATGATATTCATCCTCTTCTCTGCATTGACAAGTTCACCATCCCAAAAACATATCACCTTGGGAAATGGATCCTGCGGAGATCCTTTCTCTCACAAACCGTGTCGTAGATCAGAATCAGATTGGATGTATTTTTTTAAAAATGATACGAGCATCTTTCTTAGAGGTTAACACTTAACATTATAACAACAGTACTGAACTGTCCGGTACTAACGTACTACTACCATTACAGTTTAGAAATAAAGCTGTACTGACAAACTAATCACCTTTTAAATTGCTTATAAGCTTAGCCAAACAGGTTGATAGACTCGCAAAACTTATACTTACCACAAGAACCCCATGTTGCAACAACACCGGCGGCCTATTTGGCCCACTGAAGCCACCTCCACCACGGCCTTGGGGAATTCTTTGCAAGCTTAAAATGTATCCATCATCAGTTATTACCTGATACAGACGTGCTTTTTCACATTAGCCCATTTAACTAGAAGGTGTAAATGTAATAATCTCAGTTTCTTACATCAAACTCGTGGCACTCGTAACCATGTATAGCAACTGCGGCTGCACAATTACCTGCGGCATCAGACTTATCATCCAGGCCACGACTCGAGCCAAATGCTTGAAAGGACAGAACTAGGAGGAAAGTGCACAAGGAAAAGAAAGGAAAACTGGACAGGCTATAACTATTTGGAGCCATTTCTTGCCTTGTTTTACGTGGTCATCTCATCCCAGTGAGGTGGTCTGGGATTTATAGAACATTGACATGTCAATGCAGTCACATTTTCCATCAGCACTCACGGATATAAAGCAAAATGAAATATTCCACTATGCGTGTGTGCGCGCGCGTGTGTATGTTTAATTATTATTATTATTATTATATTCAGACCTTACACAACACAATAACAAAATTTTAACTTTTTCTCTTCTTTTCACACCTTCAAATACCATTCAGTCCAGTAATGTGCTAGAACGGAATTCTGCTAGATTGGGATTCATCTTCTTCTTGAAATTATGATAGAGGGCAACCACGACATTTTCTACTAACTTCGAGATACTGTTTATTGGCTAAATAAAAACAGAAAGAAAATCATTTGCAACTCTAATAACTAAGCCTGTGGAGTGATATTACACGTTGTTTACATAAAAACAAAGACAATTGGGAAACAATCAAGTATTAACATTTACAAATATATACCCAGTAACATTGTTACGGTTGAGGAACTGGGTTCTCTGCAGATTCAGGCTTTCACCATATAAGTTGTGCAAAAACTTCGAACCCGATTCATCTCTCGCCCATCACTACGTGCAGGGCTCGTCCTCTTCCTCCTTTCGCTAAAGCTACGGCTTGAAATCAACTTCGGAAGGCAAGACTTTGCTGATCTGTCCTCGGGTCTGAACAACACATTCGAAGTTCTTTCAGTAGTATACACAAAGTTAGCTCCCGAAATATTAGGCCTCTCGTCTGCAGATTTTGGTGGGAGGACAATACTCAAAACTTCAGCTTTCGCTTCTGCAGCATCCACATTCAGGTTACAAGCCACATTTTGTTCGTCCAAATCACGATCAACTTGTAAGCTCTCCTTGAAGAGGTCAGAGAGTTTCTTTTTCTTAACTGCAGGAGATGAGACAGGTACAGAAACAGGGTTTCCTACAGAAGAGCTGTGATGGACAGGAGTGCTACATCGAGATGGAATAAAATCTGCGTTCAAGACAGCAAAATGACAATATTAGAGGGCAATAATAACAAAAATGAAAACTAATATTGCCCGGTAACAAGAAGAATTTAGAAAATCTGATGTTGAAGTGCCGTAGAGGTTGAAAATACGTGCAACAATCTCCACTTAAACATCAGTTTCTACCTTAAAATCTTCTAACAATGTGCCCATTAGGAAAGATCCACAACAATTCAATTATGAAACTTGAAAAAAGTAATTGCCCCGACTTTATGGTTTGTTTCAAGTCAATCACTATGTCTATCTTCGTCACTAACGGAGTTGCGGGCATTATATTTTCCCCACCAACAGGCTACATTTCTATCAGTCTACTTATCAGACTCCCTCGACAAGAACAGTAACTAATTGTGTATAAACTGTTCGTAATGAATGAAAATTCTGGATACAAATCTGGTTCGGTTCCCTTTCTTTTGCCAGAAAGGGAGCTGCGTTATCTCGATTGGGACCGAGAGATTGTCGGATATCTAATATTACAACTCGTGTCTTACCACCGTTAACGCTAGAGAAATCATCTTCACAATCTGAATCTAACCAAGGCTGAGAATCAAAGAAGGTTTCCTCTTTGCTACCTGCAAGATATCAATTTACATCTCCCATCAGTATCACATATTTTACAGAACAAAGCTTCACAATAGCAGAGTTTATTTGGCTAAGCTTAAAAAGTTTACTCACAAGTAAATTTTACTGATAAGTAAATAAGTTCATTCTAAAATATTTAGATGTTTTATTAGTGAAAGTTAAAAGTAAGTTACTTAAACTCTTTTCTTTTCCATTTACCTTTCTCATTTCTTACTTAAACTCTTTCCTTTTCCATTTCACTTTCTTGTTTCTTTGTGTCTGTAACGTTTGCAGGGGTAGTCTTCTCTAACAAATCCATTGACCATATGATTATAGTTGATGAATATCGGATGGAAGTGGCTACACCCTTACAAATTTCTAAACGAGACACAAGTATACAAGTTGGCTTCAACTTCTCTCATTTAACCCTAGGTGAAAAATGCTTAAAACATAAATAACACGACGTGATTAAGAAAAAGATCCAGTAGTCATTCAATAACTAACTCCAGTATAACACTTTTCCAGTTCATTCAAAAATATCATTACTAATTCTGCACCATCCTTAATCCAACATAAGAAGTAGACCGATATTTATATCAATGCTGTTATTCATAAAAACAAAAGGGAAATAAAGATAAGAGCCCCAAAATAAAGAAAAAGAACACCTAAACCTGCATTAGAGTTAACTAAACGAACTACGACAGTCGTCAAGAAATTTTGAAAAATTTAGGCGAGCTAAGCAGTGTATATATCATTGTTTCTCTGCATATATGATTTCATTGTGCTGCTTCTATCGTTCAGAAAGTAGGAAAACCATTCTCGAAAGGGATAATAATTCTGAATATTTCCCCTACTATTTGTCGAGATAGATATGAGGTTCATCCAATCGTACTAGAATTTATGCAACAACTTATCATATTTTAAGATGAAGTTATCAACACGAAAACTATATCTTCTTGGTAGCGTGAACTTGACGAACACTGTTCAATCTATTACCTTCAACCATCATATCATCAATTTGTCATAAATATACCAAGCTAATTGCATTAAAAAGTTTGTCATACTAATAAACATGTAAATATAATGAAGGAAGAAAAACTACAATTTGTAATTAAAAAATCCTTCAAAGTTCACAAATTACATAGATCTAGCCACAAGAAGATTCCGGAAAACAACTCAAGCAGAGTATCTCTTCAAATATACAAATAAAGAGCTTAAAGTTACTTATTTTGCCTAACTATTTTGCAGGGGTAGTCTCCTCTAACGAAAAGTAACTTTTAACCGCGCTCAAAATAAAATAGGTTTTTATTTAAAGAAACAGATTGAAAAATGTTGTGCATAACAAGAAGCTAAAGGATTGAAACTATAAATAATCCACATTACCACTGGCACTGCTAATTCAAAAAAGGAAAATTCATTTTAACACTGAGATTGAACCATAAAAATGAAAAATCCAGTAAAATTACAAGAAAGATGATGATGTTATACCAAAATCACGAAAATTATATATTGGGTTAGATTTGAGAGCCACGTCAGCAACCGTAGGATCCCGGCCGGTGATCACAAGCTTGTCATTTTTCGAGCCGTATGACAGACGGAGTTTCATGGCGGATACCTGGTCTTTGTGCACCGAAACACAGGAACCCATTTCCCCAAAAATGCACACAGAAACACCCCTTCAAATCGTTTCTTTTATCTTCAAAAGGAAAAATAGTTATAGAGAGAGAGAGTGAAGTAGAAGTGAGAGAAGGGGATCCTTTAGGGAGAAATGAATACTGTAGGATGGGTAAGCTTACGGGAAATAGAAGTTCATTCATTGCATTTGAGAAATTTTGAGGCTTCAAAGCAAAGATAACGTGGGTGTTTTGTGGGCCCACCAGCAAAAATGGATTTTGGGGTTGTGTTGTAAGCTTAGGGATTGGCTGTCAAACTAGCATTTCCCTAAGCCTAAAAATCGCGGGCCCCACCATGTTAGGGGTTGTCAAACTGAACCTTACTCGTAAGCTTATTGCAATTAAGTCCTCATCTTTTGAAATTTTAAATTGTTTTTTACAGTACAATTCTCAAACATATGTTCACACAATAAAATATCTTACACACAAACTAATAAAGTTTTATTACTTTTTAACTACACATTCTCTATCAATCTACTATTTTATAAGGGCCTGTCTACTGGAAATTTTTGTCCCTAAAAAATCAATTTTTGTGTCCTTTTTTTCAACCATTAAGGCCCCACCAAGACACAATGGAGTCAAACATTTCGGCTACACAGTGAAAAAGCAACGGCCCGAAATACGGTTTCTAGTTCGCCCAGACACAACCTAATACATTACAAGAAATTAATGACTCTCAAAGACTCAAACAGGGCCTAAACTCATTTGACCCCATTGAGGCCATGTTTGAGTCACGTTATTTTTTTCATTCTAATTTTTCTAATCATTTTTAACCACACATTTTTTAATAAAATAATATATTCTATCACATCAATAAATTTTCCTTCTTTTTCAACCACATATTTTTCATCACATCAACAGTAAAAATGCATTCTTTTTCAAAAAATATGCACCAAACGGGGGCTAAATTTGATTTTTTTTTTTTTTTCTCTTCTCTTATCAACCACTAATTCTCTTAATAAAATAATATTATGCATAAATCCAATACGTTTCTTTACATTTTAACCTCACATTCTTGAAAAAATATTATTTCAAAATCAATTTTTTCCAAATAATGGGGCTCCAACAAGGCCTAAGCTTTTGATTTGAAAATTGTATCGAACCACACAAGGACTACGGCTGAAGCTCGGCTTTGAATTTGGCTAAGCTCCAAAACATATCAAAAGAATGAGAAGAAAACTCAGCTTAGTAGGACTTGGTTTGTGTTTGGATGCTCTTATAAAAAGTAATTTTTCCCCTTGTTAAAAAAAATGTGAATTTTATGAAATGTTTGATTGATTGAAGTTTGATTAGTTAAAAAGTTTATCAAACAAACACTATGTTCTCAACATGCACCTATAAAACATGAACCGATAGTTAGTAGGGTAGGTAGGAGTAGGGGGAGTAGGGGAGTAGGGTGGTAGGGAGGAGAGCTTAGGGTAGAGGGCTTAGGGGGGGAGGGGGTAGGGGGTAGTAGGGTAAAAATGGAAACTAAAAAAGAAGGTGGTAGCATATTTCAATTTGACAATCAAATGCAATCCCAACGTGTTTAGGGCGTGTTCGGTAGAGATTAAAATTGGATTAAAATTGAAAAACTAGCCGTTATTGTTGACTTTTATTAGACGAGTGAGACCCAATAACGATCATATTTTCAATTTTAATTGGATTTTAAGCTGTACCGAACATGCCCTTATTATGTAGATGCACGGACAAATAATAAACGTGTAATGTGCAGATACTTGTAGAGTAGTCTTGTTTATTTTGATTTCATATGTCCTTCCTTTCCTTTTCTCTCTACTTTCACATTGACCTAGAATTTATGTTGATCACTTAGCAAGTGGAATAGTACATGTCTAACATTATTGTCATACTAAAGTCCAAAGGTTGATATGATAAGTTTAACCCACCTATTTGCATAATGATTTGTTGCTTTATGCATATTTTTATTGAATTTACCATAACTTTTATTTGGGGTCAAATATTTAAGTATTTGAGAAAAATATATCGATATTATACTCATTTTGAGCTCATATAAAATAGCATAAATTGAGTTCAAGAAGAAATAATTTTGGCCTAATTATATTCGAATTTATTGTGATAGAGAGAAAATTTTGTTATTATAATATTTTATGTATAAAAGACAACAAAGGGCAATACGTTGATTTTTGGGAAATTGAAAAGGTGCAATACATTATAATTAATTAAATATAATTATCCTTTTAATTGTAACAATAACTAAATTTCCCTAAAAAAAAAACAATAACTAAATTAATTAACTTTATAAATGATTAGTTAATGTCAAATGCGTTTGCTTTCAAAGATTTAATATGAAACGTTTGGTTAAGTTACCGGGAAAATTTTATGTAAGTAGGAATTGTTTTCACATCATTTTCCATTTTTCATACCTACACTTGGTTCATTTTATCTATCATCTCAATTCATCTTTTCAGAATTTTTCATATCATTTGAGGTAAGAATACATTAGTGCAAAGTGATAGATTATTATTTCTTGATGTTTATATAAATTTTCGGCATGAAATACTCTTAAGGCCTTCGAATCGATTTCTATGTTAAATCCTACAGGATAAGCCATTAGGTCAAATATGTTAAATCCTATTGGTTGGACCGTTAGGTTGAATATGTAAATCATACGGGATATAGGAATTCTTAAGAAATTCCTTGAGCTATTGGATATCGCGTTCAGCTTTCTCTAAATCTAAAAAATGTCGGTATTTTATGTCACTTTTTACTTATGTCAAGTTAAATAATAATATGTACATATTTTTACAGAGTTTTCAAAATACTCCTTTCAAATTAGAATGGGTCGTGTAGACGCGTGGAAGATTGACTAAGTGATGATTATGGGGTCGCCAAATAAAAATTTCTAGAAACGATAACTTTCAAATTTTATTTGAAGAACACTTTTATGTTCAGATTTGTGCACATAATTTAGCAGTTTTTTTTTTTTTTTTTTTTGGTGTTCGAACATTTGGCATTTTATGTTAAATTTGCATTGATGGTTTGAAATCGTAGTATTTTTAAGATTTTATTAATTGTGAAATTTTTACTTAGATTGTTGGTTTATCATTATCGACATATTTTCAAATTTTGAAAAAAAAAAATCGCTTAAACTAGAAAAAGTAAATTTTCGGTAACACTTGAATTCTATTTGTTTGTAAAAAAATGAAATAGAGTTTGGGGCGTTTCAGTTTGGTATCCAAGTCTACATTTCTGCAGATCGGGTAAAAAAATTATATTTCACCATTATATAAAAATATGAATTTTCATTATGATGTAATTATTTTTATTTTCTTGTCACTGTAAATCTATTTTTTTCTTACCAATTTCTAGTCAACGCATCTCATGGTAAAATGTTGTAAATTTATTTATGGCGTACTTCTTCCAAATACCAACAAAAGTTTGATTCTGAAATTTTCTTGACATTTGAAAATAAGTGAGCAATAATCATTTTTATTGTATTTCTCTAAAATTTATATAAATGATACAAAAATTATGTTGATAGATTTCCTATGTATAGACTAGTTCTATAAATTATGTTTGGTTCAAAAGTGGTGGTACTAGTTTACTTCCAACATGGAGATGCATGATATGTGTGTCTGTTCAAAATGTTATGCATCTTTGTGTCATTTCAAAGTTAATTATCAATTTGATGGCCATGAGTTTAGTCAAAAGACCATGATACTGACTACAAAATCTTTTTCTAAATCTTTGTCCCTGTCTCATTTTTCTAAGTGCAAGGAAATGGACTTTCTTTTGAGGTTGAAGTTCATTGCATTAGAGACATCATGGGATTGTTTGTTTCTGATTCTTAAAATCAATTCTCATTTTTAATCGTACATTCTTCAATAAAATAATATTTTTCATCACATCAATAATTTTTTCTTCTTTTTCAACCACACATTTCCCATCATATCACTATTTAAAATCAATTCTTCCCCCAAAAATCCATACCAAACAAGTGCTATATATATATATATATTATCAATTTGATGGCCATGAGTTTAGTCACAAGACCATGATACTGATGACGAAATCTTTTTCTAAATCTTTGTTCCTGTCTCATTTTTCTAATTGCAAGGAAAGGGACTTTCTTTTGAGGTTGAAGTTCACTGCATTATATATATTAGAGGTGTCAAGACGAACGGGCCGGCCAGACCCGTGANATCATTTTGTTCAATTCTTAGTTTACATTTAAAAAAAAATATTGTTGCTATAAATATAAAAAATTCTATATTTTTATAATTTTATTTATACAATAATACGGGCTAAATCGGAACAAACCGCGACCCATGACTCGCATGGGCTCAATCCGGATGGGTCGTGGGCAGGCTTGGGTTGAAGTCCAAAATTTGTGGGCCGACCGGGAACTCGTAGCGGGCTGGCTTTTTTTTCACGCGGGCCGTTATCGGGCTCATATGTTGGCGAGCCGACCCGACCCGGACCACCCGGATTGACACCTCTAATATATATATATATATAACCAAATAAAGTTACACCACGATGTCCTAAATGCAACAAGGCACATGGAAGAAAGTGCTTGTTTGGGAAAAACGTGTGCTATCGATGTGGCCAAAAATGTCATTTCACCCCATACTGCAAAACATACCCACCTAAGAAAGACTATGAGCAGGGCAAGAAAGTGAAAGCCACAGTCTTTGCTTTAACACAAGAAGAGGCAACATAGGATCCGAACGTAATGGCAGGTATTTTATCAATATCTGAATTATCTGCATATGTCCTTATAGACTCAGAGCTACTCATTCATTTATTTCTACTGCATTTGTTGCTAAATCATGTACTGCATGTGAAAAATCCGATAGTGTTCTAGAAATTTCCATCCTATCCGATAGAATTTTGAACACCAATCAGATCGCTAGGGCGGTAAAGTTAGAAATGAATGGAAAAGAATTAAAATCTGATATATACCTTCAAGACATGAAAGGCTTCGATGTCATCCTAGGAATGAACTGGTTGG